TGGCGAACGTCCACGCGATCTTTTTTTCCCTTCGGTGTTGCCAATGACGTTGAGATTCTCTAGGGTCCTACGCATTGTGTGACCAATGTATCAAAAGAAATGGTACAAAAATAAATAAAAATATATATATTATTATTATTATAATATTAAAGATCAACAGATATAATCTACAACCCGTAAAAAATTACATCTTAGATATTGCTTAAAGTCAAATAAATGTGAATAGGCATAATAGCATATCTTTCAATATTTTATTCTCTATGCGTATATACAATGTAAATTTAAAAATGGAAATGACAACAACAAAAACAATTGAAGAACACAGTTGAGTCCAGAGGCGAAGGGAATGAAGCGAATTATAACGGTCGGGCGCCCAAACTGAATACACTCATTGTCCGCTTCTGTGATCTGTGGTCACACGGTAGTAGGGTGGCCATAATTAGCTTAAATCTTTGCTCACTATTTGCGGCGTACTTGATACCCTGATTTGTAACAGGCTGAATAAAACCCATAAATATAAGATGTATATTGCAAATGTCAATGATAAATCTCACTTATATTACCTGTAGATGGGTAGAATACGATTGGTGAAACAAACTCAGAATTATAATACCACGTAGGCGGTATGTTAAGTATCTACTAAGCTACGCAACCTTTTTAGTAATTAATAGCTGTTTAATTTGCTACAAAATGCAAACATGAGTTTGTTCGTTACATTTTTACACCTAAATCGATAAGAGTATAATTTTATGAATCCCTTTTTCTTGCTTTATTTCAACCTCACTTTATTACTTCAAATTAAGTAAATTATAAAAATTTCAAATGATATTTGATACTTGACAGTACCTAAGTGTGACAGAATTCTATACTCATAATAATTTAATATGTTTTTAGTTTATTTTATTTTCCAAAAACAGTCATTACAAACAAAAATCACATAAAATAATAATTAAAGAAACAGAAAAATTAATATTGTTGGAACTTCTCCAGAGCTATACCAAAACTCATAGGATAGCGGAAATAGAACAATCCATCTTTATTTCTTCATACACATTCATCAGATTAAAAGATAACAAACTCAATAAAGGCTGACGTCACTTAATTAGACGATTTAATTGCACTTATAACTTTTATCACCGCAATCTAGGAGATTAATGGCGGAGTTATCCAATGGCGGGAAGAGCAAGTGTCAATTGCAATAAAATGTTCAGAAACAGCAACAAACGCATTTACTCCATGATATCAATCGGTGACCCCTAATGCCATATAAATGGACTATGAGAAAAGTATTCCCATTAACTCGAAACTTTATTAGGTACCGCAGATTTGGACTTGCTAGATTGACTTTAGTCTATGACATATCTATTAGCAAAAATGTTTACGCACAATGTTACCCACCTAATTAAACCCTGTTTGAAATTTGAAAAGATTTTTGTTAGCTACAATGTGCTATTTGACAAGCATTTAAAAACCATTTCAGATTATTAATTGTTGATATAGAACACTACTGACTATAGAACCTATACAATTGGTTATTTTTAAATCTGCAAATAAACGGCTAAGACGGCTCATTGGTCTAGTGGTTAGTACCCCTGACTGCGAATCCATGGGTCCCGGGTTCGATCCCCGGCTGAGACAAACATCGATGTGACGAGCATTTGGTGTTGTGCTTAGGTCTTGGGTGTTTAAATATGTATTTATATGTCTATCTATCTATAATATGTATGTATATCCGTTGCCTAGTACCCATAACACAAGCTTCACTAGCTTAGCATGGGACAAGGTCAATTGGTGTGAATTGTCCAATCAAAAAAAAAAAAATTAATAAATAATTTAACCCGCTGAAAGACAAGATGGCGTAGGACCAGTCATTCTTAAATTACGAAATTAAACTCTAAGACAGTATTAGGATTACATATGCGAAGACATATTATTTGCATGCATCCTTCGTCATTGTTGATTCAACTGTAACCGTTTGTATCATGTGACTGTCGCATGAAAATCAAAATTTTTAATTATGGATTTTATAATAAATCAATGAATATTTACAAATTATTTTACTCTATAATGCGTTTTAACTTAAAGATCCGGTGTATGGCACAGATAGCGAAAAGTGATAAATAATCAATTGACTAAATTATTACAATGACAGAAATAAAAACCCTTTTAGGTGTGCATTTCTGCATCTGTTTCATTCATATTTTTTCTTCACGGGCAATTAGCTTTCTAACCATTCGAACTATTTATTATTTGTTTTACGAAAATCAACACTCAGGTTCATATTCCAAATCATATCTCAAGTCACAATCTCATCCCCGCGCATCTCACCAGGTCAACTGTGCCGCGGGTATGCGTAACGCATTTCCCCACGAAAAAAAAAGGAACAACGCTTGAAACTAGATTTACGTTAGATGGACCTTGTAGAATACGTGTCTCAGTATTCACGTTATAGGTACTACGCCCTTTATACAGAATTAGATCGCATAAAACTTTTTCAGAAATTGTTGCCAGCATGGTTTGTTAGACATTTTGCTGCTATAGAATATGCAACAAATTTAGATAGCTATATAGAAACATCTTTTCAATTAGAGTTACTTAAGAATATTTTATTGTCAGAATATAATTATGAAACAAAAGAGTCGTCGTCAACGATATCGGTACTAACAATTACTATGGGAAAATATTCAGTTTTCCCTGCTTTTGGGTAAAAAGGTAAGCTCATTTAAATACTTTGTGGTTCCAACTTATAATTTCACAGACAGCAAAGGGGAGCAAAGGATGCGTCTTACTCTGTAATTTATGGCATACACCAATTTGTACGAATCGTATTAAAGCGAACATAAACTGTTGAATGGCCCGAAAAATAGGGTGTCAACGGCGCCCTTAAATAATTCATAGCGCATTTATGGGACTGATGTAACAACAGTTTTAGCTAAACTATCTTGTTTTTAAAAATATTCCTTTTTTTAAAGTCATGTGTGTCCTTAAAACTTAAACTTCATTATCAAAAATCAAACATCGGCTGTCACCACAATAACATCTATCTCAAGACGTAATTAGTTGTCTGTATCATAAAGAAAATTCTAATTCATTAAAAGACGGCACTGTCTCCTAGAGCACAATGAAACTTGATTTTATATTACTAGTGAATAACAAAGTATACCTAATATAATTGAATTTCAATTATTATGTCACCGAGGAGACTAAGATTGTGGCAAAACCCAGAGGTCGCGGCATCGATTACCGGGAAAACAAGCATCGTTTTGGATTGACAGACACAACAAGCTGATCATAGAATATCAACGAAACAAAAATACGTATCGGTCCCTTACCTTTATAATAATGTCCATAATTGAAAGAAAGATCAAAAGTTACGTAATTTAAATAAAGCTGTAACAATGTGTCAGTATGTCACCATTTAATCTGGTATTATAAAGATTAAAGGTGCTTCTTAAGAGCATTAAACCGAGATCAAAACGGTATCAAATGTAAAATTTAAGAATGTGTTGGAGACATTGCATTCGTTGGGTTTCTTGTTCACTAACCGAAATAAGTATCTTTATTTTGTGTATTTTCTGTTTACATTATAAACTCTATATATATTTTTACTATTATTAGGTAGAGTAGTAGAAGTTAGGTATAAGTTTAACGTAAGGTTTTTTTTGGATATGTTGTATTACACTTACGTAGACTCTGTACCTAGTGTGTGCCAATAAATAGGCTTTCCTTTATGGAACATTAATTATCTGTCTAAGTATTTTTAATTTTGATGTTTTCAACGACGGGGTGCGAGAGTCGAGGTATAAACCAAATTATAACGGACCATAACCTCGGATGACAACTCATTCGTGTAATGGCGCCAAATTTTGGCGGGAACTATTGCCGCCATGGTGTATGGCAGTAATAAACACTACGAATAATAATATGTCAAAAAGGTAATGGTGTATGAGAAAAAAGCAATACAGTTGGTACTTATATTATTGCCCATGCCTAATATTTTATATTTTAATGCCTTAACCCATAGCTTTAAGTACCACGATAGCGGAACATAACCTCTTTTAGTAAAAAATTGAGGTCTCAATTTTGATTAAAAATGTGTCAGTCATAATTCTATCAAAAATCAATATCTTTAGAAAATGTAAATTGATAATTCAAAATTTTTAACAAAAAAATAGAAAACAGTAGGTATAAATATTAAACATGTGCTGGCTAGGTTGGGCGGTAGCCTTATCATTTTTCTCTTTTGTGTTTGGATCCTCATCGCCTAAATCTTGAATCCATGATTATTATAGAAGGTACCTATAGATTTCAGTCCCCAAAATCCTAGCTTCGGAGGCTTTCTTACTTTATTAAAGTTATTTGTAATATCTTTGTATTTTCTATATCTATTAAAATAACCTGTGTTACTGTATAATATGATATGAACACGTCATATACAATCCAAACCAGAATCAAACTATACCAATAAATAAAATAAATTCCCTATATAAACCTTAGTAAAATATTTAATATTTCAGGTACTATTTGCAGGAATTTTGCGAAATGGAATCTATAAAAATAGTAATTGACAAAACTTGCATATCATCGATAATTCATCAAGATTAGAATATTTTATTCTATTCAATATAATATTATTGATATTTTATTTATATTTAATAAATGTTGGTATTATGCTAATTTTCTTTTAATAATTTGCAATTTTTTTTAATTTCTTACAATGTATAATCCCAAAGTTAAACTATGAAATACATAAAAAGCTGATTTCTTGACGTAACATATTTGATAATTGTCAAATTTTTACTGTCACTGTCAGAAATGAATATAGCTTTCATATCTGTCAACCAACAGCTGATAATTTCAAAACAAAATAATACTTTTTAGTTGATACCGGTTATTTAAAGTTTTTAATGATAGTGATTTAATTTAACATACCTATAATTTTTTTTGTATGTTGTGCGTCTGAAATAATACTTACACATACGTAGTGAAACGGTTTAAACATGTCGAATCGTGAAATAGTAGAGATATCTGATGATGATGACAGTTTTGAGGTTTCTAATGATACTGAAAATAAAATACCTGTTTCTGAAATATCATCAGATGAAGAACACTATGAACTGCCTGACTTAAATTTAACGAGCCGAAAAAATGCAATAAAGAATTTGTTTCCAACACAGCTAAACAACACTAATATTAAGTCCAAAATAAAACATACAATAAACAGTGAATCCTATAAACCGGTTAAGTATCCCAATATATCAAAAGAGCCTGGTGTTGTGATAACAATTAATAATGTAAAAGTGAACTTCCCTGTCAATCCATATAGCAGCCAAGTGGCATTAATGAATAAAGTAAGTCAAACATAATATAATACTGTATCTTTTCTATGTTATTATTAATACCCTATAGTCTTAATTAGGAAAGCAAGTTAAGTGAAGAATTATATAAAACTTTCCTTGTGAAATAAATTTTTATTTAATAACATTTAGGAATTCAGAAAATACTATACTCTTCTATGTAATCTATTAATAATTTTATTTGGAGATAAGATAACTGGAAGGCCAGACTTAAGGCATATAAATTTTTTAACATGTTTTATTAAATTTTGCTTAAGAAAGTTCCTGAGTTCTTTGAATTTTTAAAAATTCACATAAGGGACATTTCACGTGAAGCGGACAGGGAAAAAAAAGTGAGGTTCTGAAAATTGACCACATTCGGCCCATTTGTACTTCTAGTAGGTATGAATGTGTACGCAAAATATTTTTTTTGTATAGTGTATATTTACCAAGTTATAGGTTTCAAAAGAATTGTCGTTGATTGGTACTACAATTTTTCGAAAGTAATTTTTCGAATATAACAAATCTACTATAAAATATTTTACATAGCGATACATATTAAAAATATACTGTTCTTTTTGACAGTAATAAAAAATTAAAAATTAAAAAAAAATTAATGGCCCAAACCGGAAGTAAACTTTTCAAACCAGAATTACAGTCACTTCGACCAATTTTTTTACATTTTTTTTTCTTTCAAAATATAGCTTAAATGATAATGAAAGTACACTAGAAAATTTAAAATGGGATCTCTATTAGTTTAGGAGATACGTTGAATAATATACACCCGCGTCGCAATGGGCGTCATATGTAGCACTTGCTTATATCGGTTGGTGTGCGTCAAATAAAATGGCTTGTATAAATGACTGTGATAAAATAGTTCAAACATTATAAAACAACATTGGTAGAACACAAGAACTGTTTATTTTGTAATTTTAACAATTTTACAATGGGAATCTATGGCAGAACTGGTCCTCTTTACAAGAAGGCCTGTGGTTGTTGGATTGAAGCTGTGAAACTTTTTGGTTCCTGAAATGGTGACCGTAGACGCAAACCAGGGTTCCAAAAAAATTCTCTGACGCTCTATATCATCTTTAGAACAGAAATAAATGGCGGTTTGTTTTAAAGATGATTTTGCCCATTCATATAATCGCATTGGTGTTATAATTGCTTTACTTGGTGGTAACTGTAAACTTGCACGCGCAGCTAAACGTTTCAGATTCCCCCCTAGACCATCGCATGCCCCTTTCCGTGAGATGTTGCATGAAATAAAACAGATTCACAAAGTTAAATCTATTTTTAAAATGTTGGGAAGCCCCGTCAGTTATGTATATAACTTTTGATCCAACTATCAATTTTTCTAAAAGATGCTTGTGTAGTAGCTTTTGGAAAGCATAAAAGGTGGCTGTGTCATGCTTCAGGTCGTCAGAAATCATAATAATGCTTCCGGGTTTTACTTCATTACCGTCTCTGTAGTAAAAAACTGACGTTAGAAGCGTTGCCTGTGCATTATTCCAATGAAAGGATTGAGTTCTGAATCTGTTTTATTACAAAGAAGATTTTAATGCAGATGCAGAGTTGCATTTTCATGCAACATCTCACGGAAAGGGGCATGCGGTGGTCTAGGGGGGAATCTGAAACGTTTAGCTGCGCGTGCAAGTTTACAGTTACCTCCAAGTAAAGCAATTATAACACCAATGCGATTATATGAATGGGCAAAATCATCTTTAAAACAAACCGCCATTTATTTCTGTTCTAAAGATGATATAGAGCGTCAGAGAATTTTTTTGGAACCCTGGTTTGCGTCTACGGTCACCATTTCAGGAACCAAAAAGTTTCACAGCTTCATTCCAACAACCACAGGCCTTCTTGTAAAGAGGACCAGTTCTGCCATAGATTCCCATTGTAAAATTGTTAAAATTACAAAATAAACAGTTCTTGTGTTCTACCAATGTTGTTTTATTATGTTTGAACTATTTTATCACAGTAATTTATACAAGCCATTTTATTTGACGCACACCAACCGATATAAGCAAGTGCTACATATGACGCCCATTGCGACGCGGGTGTATATTATTCAACGTATCTCCTAAACTAATAGAGATCCCATTTTAAATTTTCTAGTGTACTTTCATTATCATTTAGGCTATATTTTGAAAGAAAAAAAATATAAAAAAATTGGTCGAAGTGACTGTAATTCTGGTTTGAAAAGTTTACTTCCGGTTTTGGCCATTAATTTTTTTTTAATTTTTTAATTTTTTTTTACTGTCAAAAAGAACAGTATATTTTTAATATGTATCGCTATGTAAAATATTTTATAGTAGATTTGTTATATTCGAAAAAATACTTTCGAAAAATTGTAGTACCAATCAACGACAATTCTTTTGAAACCTATAACTTGGTAAATATACACTATACAAAAAAAATATTTTGCGTACACATTCATACCTACTAGAAGTAAAAATGGGCCAAATGTGGTCAATTTTCAGAACCTCACTTTTTTTTCCTGTCCGCTTCACGTAATTCACATAATATATTCGTGAAGACCTGACCTTTTTGACATTTATTGTATTTATACTGGCTGGTTGGTATTTGATCTTCTAAATATATGCCACATCAAAGAACAGAGACCTTTAACTTTATACCCATCATCCTTAATATATTAGAACATATCAAATATTTGCAGGAGATAAAAGCGATTACCAATAATCAAAATTGCCTCCTTGAGAGTCCAACGGGTTCAGGGAAAACACTGGCATTGCTTTGTGCTGCATTAGCAGTGCAGAGAAAGGAAAAACGTAAGTTTTATTATTGTTTTGAATAAAAATTTAGTTCATTCGAACTGACACTTTCAAAGAGACAATCTTTCTTAAGCTTCCTGTTACTATGATGATTGTGCGTGTATTTATATGTAGATTAATAATATCCACTTAAGGTAATCCTAAAACTAATGCTTTATTCAGTTTAAAATAATAAAAATCGAAACCTTAATCTAAATAGGTCTAATAATAAATAAATATATAATTTATTAACATTTATTTTTGTCAAAACCAGATTATATCATGCTAGAATGGACTAAGTTTTGTTTTTCACACCATATTCTCCGCTATTTACAATGTTAATTATTATTATTCCCATTTAATGCATCTACATCTGTTTTGTTTCACCTTCACTGTGCATATTTCATTAAAATATAACTATGTATTACTATTAAAATTAGTTTACTGAAATTCCTACCCTGGAATATTCCAGTATTATGGAATAAGGTAGGAATATATTGTGTAAAAATTGAATTTTTAAATAAAGAATTTATCTATCTAATTAATAAACAGTTTATAAGAGGTTGGGGTGGATTTGACGCCTTTTTATAAGGTATCATAAGAATGGCGAAGCGTCAATTGATCACAAGTGGTGTCGTGACCTGGCCCATCCAACCAACAAGTCCCACAAATCATGACAACTGTCGCACTACAATCAGACGAGCCTACATGAAAATTGCGATGCGAATGCATTTCTAGCATGCTACCATTTGCATCATGGGGTAGGGCTGTATACAACATTTAATGTTTTTTTACTTTAGTCAATTTGCCAATATGGAAAGTATTATTTGTTATTCTTGAACGTATTTTTATTTAGAACAAATTACGATGAAAAGCATGACCTGTACTATTTAATCAGTAAAACGACGTATTTCGCAAACATGCCTACTATACCGCAATTAGCTAAAAGTGATTGGGCATGTTTAATTCTTTGGCAAGTGCTATTAAACAAGAGAGTTAAAAGTAAAAAACAATCAATAGCTATTTGAGCTAATAGTTTATAAAAAGGACCTCAATTTTAAGAATTATAGTATATAGATATGTTTTTTTTAGACCAGTGTTGGGTTTCAGCGTGCGACTCTCAAACCCTGGGATCGTTCCGTTGGGATTTGTTTGTTTGTGTGTTTTTCTCTATGTTCGCATTTAACACTCGCTTATAAGGCGAAGGAAAACATCGTGAGGAAACCGGCATGCCTTATCCAAAAAGTCGACGGTGTGTCAGGCACAGAAGGTTGGATCACCTACTTGCCTATTAAAAATGATCACGTAATAGAAATCTGAGACCCAGACCTAAAAAGGTTGTAGATCTATTGATATGTAGATATGCTTTTAAAATTTATAGCCCTCGTTCTTAAAAGCAAAGTATAGTAAAACTTTGTAAACTGTAACTTGGCCACTTGAAGTACTCAATAAGAATGGTAATATTCCGACACGATGAAAGTTAGAAACTCAATAAATTCTTTTACGACACCGCAATATTTCGTAGAGTTCAGAAAAGAAAATTTCTATTCTAAATTTATTTGACCTAGAATAGTACGAAGTTTTTTTAATGCACCTAGGCTATTCTTGTTTTCATAGATATTTAGAAACATATTTATTTCTTAAATTTCCTGCAAAAATGTGATGCTAAAATAATAGTAGAGGAGAAAAATACTGCAATAGTTTATAATATAATCATTACCTACTCAAAAACCTATTGTTATAATATTACTTAGTGATACGTAGTAGTAACATGACTAAAGGTGGAAACATACTATTAAAACGCCACGCGACGCAACGTGTCGACACCCGATGTCCATCGTGCACATTACCAACACGCGACACCACGACACACTTGCAAATTCAGAAGTCATTTAGCTGACAATTGACATTTGTGCCAAAAACTCGAACGTTTGACGCTTGGCGTCAACAACACGACAACACGCCGATCCAAATCGATTGGATGTTACCGCGTGTGATCACATGGCGTGTTGTCTATGTGCATCTGACCATATTAAATATATTGGATTGATAAGTACTGACATGCGTCGGATGGCGTGGTGTAGCGTCGCGTTTTGGTAGTATGTTTCCGCCTATTATCTTACCGTGCGTGTTATTAGATAGGTATCTACTATTAAACTTCTATTAAATTATAATAAATACATTTTAATTTTAGTATGTAGTATGTAAACAAAGCCTTCTTCAAAGAGACACATTATCTGTGATTGTCATTTGTTTTGCTTTACAATTGTTATTTTATTTTGGGTGAGAAATGGAACTCCTAAGCCATTTGTGTCTGACACGTGTCTAAAAGCAAGACATTTTTGTAGGAAAAGTTTGTCTAATTTTTTCACGTCACAACGTTGACGCCTCAATCGTCGCTGAATCGAACACGAAACCAAACGTTCACGGAATGTTTTGTGGTGAAATGGGTTGACATGTCTCAAAAAGTTTTATTTAAATTGTTGATTTGTGAATTTAACTGTTCTTAGAAAACTTTTAAACTGAGTATTCGTGATAGACAAACTCTTTTGACACAATTGTAATACAAATTTTTGTTACCAGCTATCGCCAGTAACCTGTGTTGTTCGCTTATGTTTAAACATAATATATACGAGTAGGTATACATTAGGAAGCGTAGCAGCAGGGACTCCGTAGATGTCGATTTTCAATATTTTACTTACTTACTTTGAATTGGCGTTTTTTTTAGTTCTTGCTGTTGTGGAACTCGGGACTTAAAATTACGTGATACAATAATTTAATATTGGTGTTGGAATCTAGAAGTTACTTAACTTACGAATCAGGCTTCCTAGTGCGATCAGTTTTAATCGAAATAATAATTAATTTTTTGCAAGTTCCATATTTTATCGTTTACTCGACGGATGCTTTTATCAATTTAATCCATATATTACAGTATTATCAGTAAATGCAAAGACTCATCTTTTTATTAATATTAACATCCATTAATATATATATTATACTTACCCCTTAATAAATTAATTACTAACTAGTAAAGTAACTTCTACACAAACGCACGTAAATATAAAATATTATATATGTTTAGTGTTAGAATTCGTAATAAATTTATAATAGTAGTGTATACCTTTGATCCATTTCCAGGAAATCAAATTTGCGGAGTTGATAAACCGATTCTGCTGATCTACTATCAGTTACGGATCCCATCAATTATCCGAAATCGGAATACTGACACTCTACCCCTGAGATTTCTCCCTAACTCTCCCTATATCTCCTTTCCGCGTAGCTGCCAACCCTTTTTCTAAATTGAATTACAATCCTGTTTTTGTGTGACTTTCGGCGCCCTTTACCTCCGTGCTAGTGTTGAATATTGTATTCAAGAAATACCCAAATAATCAACAACTGTTCCTAGTGCAGGGATTAGAATGAAATGTTTTGTAATCTCGAGGTTTAGTTGGGAAGTTGGCTACTGGTGCCAGTTATATATCCTGCGCCTGATATCCGTGCCGTGATACATTGGTCATGTTGGGTCATCCATACCAACTTAGTCCTTTAGTTGTCCTTTTAGTTGACAACACTGTTACGTCTTCTTATCGAAAAATTTTATTAAAGCTGAAAATAAAAACAATATATTTTTTTTAATAAATTAAATGACGCGTTACTGCCACGCCAGTTGACGCTGCACAGGCTCTAGTATGAGAAACACGCACATATTTATGCAGTAAAATATCTCCTATGTACATGACAAATTTTAATAAGTTAAGTCGCGACGCGATTATATTATCTATTGATTGAGTTGGTTAATATCCTTAAAGTCTGTATCTAAAAAAAACATATTTTTTATTTTAGTCTCTGTATCTGTTTCCTTGATCATTTCTTAATCCAAGGTGATCTGTGCGCTCGTTTCAACGTGCGGGTATTATCTGCATGTAATTGCGCACATAGATAGAAACATTCATTGCAGCCAGGATTCAAATGCCCGACTACAAGGTTGTGAATCGTGGCCGTTGTAATGATATTATTTCTATACTAAAGCATATTTTTATGTTTTGTCTGAGTAATAGCTAGTCACTATTTAAAACGGGTATAAATAGTCTATACTTTATGCATCTACAAAGGTACCACCCGCGTCGCGTTAATTTACCCAAGGGTTGCCGCCGATGTCGTCGAATCGTAAACGTTATTTATGACGCCAACGAACGATTATTGCCTACATTTGCATATAAATTTATGCAATCATACCCCTTTTGCTTCCGTGTTTCTATGGTACCTGTAAGATTGAATTTGCAGATTCATTCTATTCGTTGTATGTTTACATACTACGGATTTCCATAGATATTGAATATATCATACTGATTAAGGAATACCCTTTGCATCATTTATATGTATATGATTAGCGTTCATCTTAAACCTATATAACATAATGTATATATTCTTGAAGATCGTATTTTGTAAAATGTGCCTGATTTGTAAACGCTGCAATATAATGCAAACAACGAATGTTAACACTGGGATTGATTCTTAGCAAAACAATAAAAAATACTGTATATATATATATCTTATATCTCTGTCTGTATATATAGGCATTTATAGTATAATGCTAAAGTTATTTTGTTCATGAATTATTATTTTAATATACTCAAACTATCGTATTATTAAAGTAATAAACGTTCTGCGAGACTTTTGTAGAAAGCTTGTTTGAAGTTTGAAAGACATATGTGCCTTTTATAACGTTAGATAGGGCTCTTAACAACCACGACTGTTAGTTGAAACTAAAAAATATTAAAAAGTATTTTATTATAATAAGACCGACGAACCGAAATAGTTCGACAGTAAAACAACCTCCAACTTGTTAATTCTTAATTTGAACGCGACATGTTATTTTTCTGTCTTTAATTTATTACAACTCATTAAGCGGTGTTTGTATTCCTCGCGATTCGTGCGCTTTACAACCCTAATCGGTATAAAACCATATTTCTTTTTTTAAACGATTTTTTTCTCGATTCATATTTGGAATGGTAATTTTACAGTTTTGAGCACGTCAATCTATTAATGTGATTGGCGTTCTGAACCTTCGTGACTTGTTTCATTTTTCGTCTTCATTTTTTTAAAAATTGTCTCATTTTCGTAAAATGGGTTGCATTTAAATTGATTGCTTATTTCTGATATGTTTTGGTTTTGGTCACTGTTTTGGTTAAATCGCATGGCAGACGTACATTAGGTAAATATTGTATGTACTTAGTTAGAGAATTATTTTAAAATGTAAATTAATTAAAAGAATGCCATTAGTTTTGTGTCTCGTTGACAACTATTTTGCCGAGTTTTGGACAACTAAACCTGTTTAAAAAAATAATGATGATTCGTCTTTATTGATGTTCTCCAGTTACAAATTATGAAAGAAGTATCAATTTAAACTTATTTATAATAGCGCCATCTATGTTTTCTTTCTAGAACTACCGTAATCATTTGATTCCTTACAAAAAATTGAGTTCAGCGCCCTCTTTTAAATTGCGTGTGAACTACGCTAAACGATTTAAAATACTTCGTAAACTTGAAAATTTTCTCAGCTGCAGATACGGTAATATTATTGTTTTCAATGGAGATAGTAATTTGAATTTAAGTAAAAATGTTTATATTAATTAAGACGTAATCGACATAATGAATTAATTTACTGCGACTATTAATTTATTTAATCAAGTTTAATACACAATCGTTATATATTAACAATTTAATGGTAGGTACTT